CATTTCATCTCTCTTTGATAAAGGGTTGGTGCAGCCTAACTGGGGATTTCTATAATTTAAAACACAACTTCTTCCCTCTTTTATATTCTAGACTTTTTTTTAAAAATCCTTCATGGGCATCTGGGCACTGCTGGTGAGGCCAGGATTTGTTGCCCTTCCCTATTACCATGAGCAGTTCAGAATCAACCACGTTGCTATGAGTCTGGAGTCACATGCAGATGGCAGCGCCAGGACCTTGGTGAACCAGATGGGCATTTTTTATGACCAAGTTTGTATGGTCCCTATGAGTCTCACTCTTTGTTCCAGATTTTAGTGAATTCAAATTTCACCATCTGTCATGGTGAGATTCGAATCCATGTCCCTAGAACATTAAGCTGGATTACTAGCCCAGCTACCACTATGCCACCACCTCCCCTATCTATAAATTTAACCCTTTAAATTATTTCCTGTATCTGTTCATGTTTTAAGAGTATGTCACTGCAATGGTTTTGCAGTGATTGTAATGAGATCAGTCGGGTGGACCTCATAGGATTTCCCTGATTGGGGCTATTAATCTGGTCCAATCAGGGAGCCCTGGCTGATAGGTATAAACAGAAATGTCAGACATTCTGAGAGCTGGCTCTGAGGGAGCTGGATCAGTGTCAAGGACTCTTCATGTGTAAATAAAGGGTGACAGGATACCCGGTCTCTGTGGAGTTATTTCAAGTGTTATCAGTGTTGATGGGGTGCAATCGGGATTCAGAGCAGTATGGATAAATAGATGCTAAGAGTGATCAATGCCATTAATTCTGGCCTAGTTATCCAGAGGGCCAGGCTAATAATTAGGGGCATGGGTTTGAATCCCATCTTGACAAATAGTGGAGAGGATAGATAGGCTGGGGTTATGTTCCCGGAGCATAGGAGGCTGATGGGTGACTTTATAGAGTTTTATAAAATGATGGGCATAGATAAGTTGAGCAGCCAATTCCTCAGGGTAGGAGATTCTAAAACTAGAGGGCATGGGTTTAAGGTGAGACAGGAAAGATTATAAAGAGAACTGAGGGGGCAAATTTTGCACACAGAGGGCAGAATGAGCTGCCAGAGGAAGTGGTAGATGCAGGTACAGTTACAATATTCAAAACTCATTTGGACAGGTACACGGATGGGAAAGGTTTAGAGGGATATGGGCCAAACACAGGCAAATGAGACTAGTTCAGTTTAGGAAACCTGGTTGGCATGGATGAGTTGGGCCGAAGGGCCTGGTTCTGTGCTTTATGCCTCTTTAACTCTGAGTTTGAATTCAATTAAATAAATCTGGTATTGTCATTAAAAAAAAATCTTGTTCACTAATGCCCCTTACAGGGGCAAACTGCTCTCCTGACCTGGTCTGCCCTACACGTGACTCCTGAACCACAGTAAGGTGCTTAACTCCAAACTTAGCCCTCTGAAATGGCCCAGCAAAGCCACTCCCTCAAGTGGCAATTAGGGCAGGGTAATAAATGCAGGCCTTGCGAATGATGCCACAAAAGGGTAGAAAACAGTGCCATTCCTCGGAACGTGGGCTTGCGGTCGTCTGGGAAAAAGATAAGAGTGAGGCAGGCAGAGAGCTGTGCAACAGAGAGTGATTGGAACGTGGTGAGCCATGTGCAGCGTTACGCAGGGTGCACGATTATGTTGGACTCCTCCACTTGGCGATCTGCCTGAGACGAATTGCTCTTCAGATCTGGTGAGTCGGAAAACAGCAATCTTAGCAAGTTTACAAATCAAACCAGCCGATACCTTCCCTTGCCCTGCTTTCCAGCCTATCATACTCCTTTGTGCTTGGTGTGACCACCTCCTAGTTATGCCCCCTCACCTCCCCCCCACCCCCAGTGCCTCCCATTCATTTGCAATGCTTCTTTTCCTCTTTGTAATGAAGCTTCAGGGGGAGGGGAAGAGACTTGTTCCCCTCTCATCCAGTGGCAACTGTTTAAAGCTGTTCCTACAGCTCTGCTGCCAGAGGACATTGGAACACTCTGTGCTCTCACTGATGTATTTAGTCACAGTCTGCTGACTACATGTTGATCAGTTTCATTTTGTGGTGTTCTGGCAGTCTGTGAGTCCAACAGCCCAGAATGTACCAGAGTGGAACATTTCAACGTCAGTCCCATTTGCTGCTGGAGATTTCTAGCCCCTCCATCGGCTCACATGAAAGTTGTTTGCACTGGAAATCGCTGCAAATTCATGGACGTCATCTATAGGACCCCTGTAAATGAAAGGACAGCAAGCAGTGAGTTTTAATTGGCAACGGTAGAAACAGCTATGTGATTGACTCTTAACTGCCCCTCTGAGGTAGTCTAGCTGTCACTCAGTTCAAGGGCAATTAGGGACGGAGCCAACAAATCTCACCTTTGGCAGCAATGCCCACATCCCATGGATGAGTCGTAGATTCATACAGTCATATAATAAGGAAACAGACCCTTCATCCAACTCATCCATGCTGACCACATATCCTAACTTAATCTAGTCCCATTCACTAGCATTTGGCCCCTATTCCTCTAAACCTGCCTCTGTTCATACACTCCTCAGTCCCCGAAGCTCCAGGGAAAATAGCCCCAGTCTATTCAGCCTCTCCCTATAGGTCAAACTCTCCAATCCTGGCAACATCCTTCTAAATCTTTTCTGAACCCTTTCAAGTTTCACAACATCTTTCCTATAGCAGGGAGACTAGAACTGAACACTATATTCCAAAAGTGTCCTAACCAGTGCCCTGCGCAGGCACAACATGGCCTCCCAATAATAATCTCATTTTTTCAGAAGCTGCAGGGGTCTTTAACATTCCAACTATACTTTCGAGGGTGTCATAGTAGAGTTGAATGTTGGACCATTTCAGTTGCTGCCTGGGTTAGATATCTTTTCAGAGATAGTGGGAACTGCAGATGCTGGAGAATCTGAGATAACGTGGTGTAGAGCTGGATGAACACAGCAGGCCAAGCAGCATCAGAGGAGCAGGAAAGCTGACGTTTCGGGCCTAGACCCTTCTTCAGAAAAATGCCTGGGAGGGAGTCACTCTCGGAATAATGGGAGCTGTATCTGGGAGGGTGTCACTGTCGGAATAACGGGAGCCATGCCTGGGAGGGAGTCACAGGGAAATGTAGACATCAATCTGAAAGTGTTTCAGAGATAGTAGGAACTGCAGATGCTGGAGAAAAAGAGGGTCTAGGCCCGAAACGTCAGCTTTCCTGCTCCTCTGATGCTGCTTGGCCTGCTGTGTTCATCCAGCTCTACACCGCGTTATCTCTGGGTTAGATATTTGCTGGGGCACGTCACCGGTTCTGGTGGGGTGAGCTGTAGCAGTGGGTCAGTGAACTTAATCAGCTTTAAAGGCCTGTTGTCACCTTCACTTACTTCTGAAGCACTGAGTCATTGAAGAGCAGAGAGATCGAATTCCACAAAAGCACAATGGGAACTACTCTCCCAGCAGACACAGTAGTCTATTTACAACAACTACCCACATTGATGTAGAGGGTTTAATCATAGAATCCCTACAGTGTGGAAGCAGGACATTCGACCCATTGAATCCACACCGACCATCCAAACAGCATCCCTCCCTGACCCATCCCTATAACTCTGCATTTCCCACGGCCAATCCACCTGCACATCTTTGGACTGTGGGAGGAAACCGGAGCTCCCAGAGGAAACCCACGCAGACACAGGGAGAATGTGCAAACTCCACACAGTCAGTTGCCCGAGGGTGGAATCGAACCCGGGTCCCTGGCGCCATGAGGCAGCAGTGCTAACCACTGAGCCATCATGCTGCCTCATGGAATATACAGGACAGTGGAATGTCCCAAGCTGCTTTGCAGGAAGCTATGTCAGGCCAAAGCTGATGAATGAATTAAAGGGATTGTGAGGACAGTGGTGCAAGAATTTGATGGAGGAAGCAGAGAGGTTTAAGGCAGGTAATCCCAGAATTTATACAGTCTGAAGACTCACCAAAAATGGAAATAAATTTGCAATGTGCAAGAGGCTGGAATGGGAGAGGTAGAGGTCTAAAGGCCAGACAAAATAGGAGCAGGAGGAGGCCATACTGTAGCCCCCCACCTCGCGGCCCCCACCCCTACACCCCGGTCTGCTCCACCATCTGAGAAGATCATGGCTAATCTGAGTTCATCCTGAACCCTACTTCCCTGTCTTTTCTACCCCATCGCCCTGTCAATCAACAATATCTCTAACCCAACCTTGACTATATTCACTGATCCAGCCTGCATTGCTCGCTGGGGAGCAGAATAACAAAATTCAGAGAGAAGAATTTCCTTCCCATCTGCCTTAACGTGGAGGCCCCTTATTTCCAAACTGTGAGCCTTGGTTATGGATTTCCCCACTGAGCGGGAGCATCCTCTCAGCCTCCACTCCATCGAATGTCCTCTGAATATATTATATTTCAGTAAGACTTCGGGGGGGGTGTGGGGCTGGGGGGTGTTAGAGAAGATGGGGGTGTAGGGGCTGGGGGGGATGGTTAGAGATAGCGGGGTGTAGGGCCTGGGGGAGGGTGGTTAGAGATGGAGGGGGGGGTGGGGGCTGGGGGGGGGGGGTTGGGGGGTGGTTAGAGATGGGGCTGGAGGAGGTGACAGAGATAGGGAGGGGGTGTAGGGGCTGGAGGAGGTTACAGACATGGGGCTGGAGGAGGTGACAGAGATAGGGAGGGGTTGTAAGGGCTGGAGGAGGTGACAGAGACAGGGTGGGTTGAAATCAGAGATTTTGAAAAAAGGAAGGGTCACCGTTCTGAGGAAGGGTCACCGGACCCGAAACGTTAACTCTGATTTTTTTCCTTCACAGATGCTGCCAGACCTGTTGAGCTTTTCCAGCAACTTCTGTTTTTGTTCCTGATTTACAGCATTCGCAGTTTTTATTTGAAACCGAGGCCTGTTCAGAGTCGAAGCAGCTTTGGTTCTATTCCTAACAGAATGACAGAAGGTTGTGGATTATCAATAAAATCTCGTGGAGGCATGGAACTCACACAATTTCCAATTTTTCCATAGGTTTGGAAGAGGATAAAAAGGTGGGAACCGGGATGTCAGATGTGGTTCAGGATCCTAAACCCAAGCCAGCCGTTCCGATGAAACCATCAGCTGTGGGCTCCCAGCTACTCGGCTATGTGGGAATTGATACCATCATCGAGCAGATGAGAAGGAAGACCATGAAGACTGGTTTCGATTTTAACATCATGGTCGTGGGTGAGAACCGAGACATTGCACTTAACCCTGCCTTTAACCCTTCCCAAACTTCCCTCTCTTTACCTGGTTGGGGGGGGTAGACAGAATTCCTAACGCAGTGAATGTTCCCAATGAGCACTGAGCTATTCTGAAAGGGAAGAAAACTCAAGAGAAACTTTGGAAGTGGAGTTATTGAAGAAAGCACGGCTGTGGGAGAGAAGCTGGGGGGAGCAGGGACTAACTAGTCTTGAAAGAGCTGGCAGAGATACGATGGGTGGAATGGACCCCCTTCTGTGTTCTATAGGTCAACTTAATGGGTGAATGAGGGTGACATCGCAAGTGAAATTCAGATTGTGGGACTTGATTAAAACGAATTGTGGTTGTAATTGGTTAGTTAGATGAAAATAATGAGTATTGAAGTGTCCTTTAAGGCCATCCCCATCTTAATGATGAGTTTCATTGCCTGCTCGGGAAGGGATCCTTTTAGAGCCAGTTTTCTTGCTATCTAGCACTCCAACCGCACCCCGCTCCGTGTAAATGTCCCCCTTTAATAACATACCTCTCTGGTGTAGGCTAACCTCCAGCTGGGTGCTTTATCTGAGCAACAGATGTTACCCCTCTTAACATTATTAATTATCACGATACCAAAGAATTCAACAACCTAATCTCTCTGTGGTGGGATTCTATTCTTCTGGAAGACAAACCCACTGCTTTGTTTGCATTGCCTTGTTCATAACTGGAACCACTAAATGATTTGGGAATCTCTACACCCTACAATCACTGTCCTGACTTCATAGAATCCCCTACAGTGTGGAAGAGGCCATGTGGCCCATCGAGTCCACACTGACCCCTCCCAACAGCATCTCACCCAGACCCACCCGCCCTTCCCTCTAACCCTGCATTTCCCACAGCTTATCCATCCAGCCTGCACATCCCTGGGCGCCATGTCCAATCCATGTGGCCTGCACATCTTTGGACTGTGGGAGGAAACCAGCAGTAACCCATACAGACACAGGGAGAACATACAACCCCCACACAGACAGTTGCCCAAGGCTGGGATTGAACCCTGGTCCCTGGCACTGTGAGGCAGCAGCGCTAACCACTGAGCCACTGTGCTGCCCTCATTTTGACAGCATCGCCAGCACTATCTCCTTATTCCTCCCTCCGATATGTATCACATTAATCCATATTGGCATTTATTTGCAATCGGCTGTTTGTTTTTAAACTGCTAACCTCCTTGTGCCCGGTGTGTAGGTCAGAGTGGCCTGGGGAAGTCGACACTGGTGAACACGCTGTTTAAATCTCAAGTCAGTCGGAAGTCCTGCGGCAGAAATCGAGAAGAAAAGGTCCCTAAAACTGTAGAGATCCGAACAGTTAGTCACGGTGAGGTCACCTACAGTATGTATTTCTTCCTAATTGCAAGCGATGAAAAATAAACCGAGATTGAAAAAAAAATGATCGTCATATAACATCGACTCAGGTCAGTTTGACCTGTGAATGCTTAGAACATCAGACACAGGGGCAATGATCGCTGCTGTTTGACAAATCTTTCTTTGAAAACCTCCTTGAACTCATTCTGAAATCGCTGTAAAGTCACAGTATTGAAACCCTCTGCAGTGTTTTCCTGGCGTTTTATTCCTGATTTATTCTCACAATTTTTTGAGAAAGTACTCGTTTCTGTAAAAATGCATTCCTAGTATAATTCCAAAGTACAGCAAATTCCAACGGCACACCCTCTAACCTCAACAATCTGAAGCAAAAACATTACATATCATTTACCAGTTCCGAGGAAGGGACACCGGACCCAAAACGTTAACTCTGATTTTTTTATCTTCATGGATGCTGCCAGACCCGCTGAGCTTTTCCAGCAACTTCTGTTTTTGTTTCTGATTTACAGCATCCACAGTTCTTTTGGTTTTTACATTTTATGTCATCTTGGTTAATCTTCCTTCTGGTTTGGGTGACAACTAACAGCTCAGTGTTTTTCTGTTTGTTGTTGAAATAAATTCTACATTTTTCCCCAAGACATCCAGAATTTCTAGTCCATATTTCCGTCCTCCTTTAAAAGGCAGGAATTAGAAGTTGTAGATCCTTCAGTACAGACACATCTCAGTAAAGTACAATCAGATATAAACTGGACTCCCCACTTTCTCAAGTTGTTTTTGTTGACAAAATCCAGAAGCTTTGCTTTCATAATGTGCAGTGTATAAACTACACACCCTGTCATGTATCAAACCTTCTCGTGTGTGTGCGCGCACGCATGTGTAACAGGCTACTGTGTGTGTGTGTGTGTGTGTGTGTGTGTGTGACAGGCTGAGGCGATATCTGTGTGT